TAGATCTATTTCCCCATCCTCATATATAAATATATTTGCATATGTACATGTCTTTATCTAGACCTCTATAAATGCCCTTTGCCTCCCAGCTCTTGAAGCAAAGACTTTTTAGTAGTTTTATTGATATAATTATCATATTGTATACTTCACTAGTTGTCACTTTTTTATTAATCATTTTACTGGTGCTCTTAACAACAATCCATACATAGGTTGTATCAAACATAGTTGTACATATGTTGCCATCATCATTTTCAAAACATTTTCTGTTTGAGCCCTTGGTATTAGCTCCACTTTTTTCCTTCCCTCCTGTCCCCTCCCACCCTCATGCACCCTTGAAAAATGATAAATTATTATTATTTTCATATCTTACACCATCTATTGTGTCCCTTGGCCCATGTTTCTGTTGTTTGTCCCCCTGGGTGGGGGTTGGGGGCATTTAATATATTGATCATCATAGTTCCCCATTTCTCCCCCTTCTCCTCCCACCTTCCCCCTACTCTCTGGTATCGCTACTCCCGTTACTGTTCTTGAGGGGCTTATCTGTCGTGGATTCCATGTATCGAGAGCTCTTATCTGTACTAGTGTACATGCTCTGGTCTAGCTGGAATTGTAAGGTAGAACTGGGGTCATGATAGTGGGGTGGGGGGAGGAAGCTTAAACAACTAGAGGAATGTTGTGTGTTCTGTTGGTGCTATGCTGTACCCTGGCTGACTCTTTCCTTCCTTGTGACCCTTCTGTGAGGGAATGTCCAGTTGTCTACAGATGCGCCTTTGGTCTCCACTCCAACCTCCATTATTTGCATAAATATATTTGTTTTGGGTCTTCTGATGCCTGATACCTGATCCCCTCAATACCTCATGGTCATACAGGATAGTGTACTTCTTCCTTGTGGACTTGTTGCTTCTCTGCTAGATGGCCGCCTGTTTAATTTCAAGCTTTTGAGACAGTGGTTCTCAAACTTCCTAATGCAGTGACCCTTTAATACAGTTTCTCATGTTGTATTGACCCCTCAACCACAAAATTATTTTTGTTGCTACTTCATAACTGTAATTTTGCTACTGTAATGAATTGGATGACCCCTGTGAAAGGGTTGTTCGACCCCCAAAAGGATTGTGACCTACAGGTTGAGAACTGCTGCTTTAAGACCTCAGATGCTATATCTTTAAATGGCTGGGCACCATCAGTTTTCTAAACTACATTTGCTTATACACCCATTTTTACTTTGAATTAACCATTGACACTTTATATTAATAGTGAGTGCATTATTGTATTTAGAATTGTATTTTGCCCAGCTTATATAGTAAAAGTCCTTCACATTTCTCTTTGCATTTATATAATTTTAGTAATTACTTGTGTGACACCGTGACCTTTGGTGAGAATAATGTCTGTAGGGTCAAATAAACTAAAATTATGAATCCTGGTATTTCCACCCGCTTGCATGGTTGCTTTGGAAAAGTTACTTAAGCCCTCTGAGCCTTATTTGCAAATGAAGTTATTTTCTTGATGGTTAAATTATATAATGTTCTTAAAGTGTCTAGTACAAACTGACTAACAGAAGACACTAGAGCTAGTAATTTTTATAGTGCTACTAATATACTATCTGTTGGTTTCTATTTTATTTTTTAAATAAACTCATGGATTGTAATGTCAATTCAAAATTTTTAGTTTCTCATGTAATGGGGATGTTTATTGAGTGATAGTTGTGTGCTTGTTGAAAAATTTAAACTTTTTGTGTTTATTAAAAAATATTTTAACCAGAAGTTCTGAAGCAATTAACTATTTATGTTTTTTAGGTTTTAGTGATGTTCATACTCATTTTTCCTAAATAATACATTAGGCTAAAGCATTTTATAGCTAAATTTCAAAGGGAATAAGTTTGTTATTTAGTTTCAATCAGTAAATATTTTTATTTCCTTGGAAAACTGAAGTAATTTTGCTGTCTTAAATTTTAGTTTAATAAAATTCTTTGACTATGGTTCTTAAAAAGGAAAATTTAGAGTAATTTGAATTCT